ATTTTTTTATCTAGATACAATTAATTTAACTTAGATATTACATTATTTATTATGAATATAATAAATAATTTTTATTTATTATAATAGTCTCTAAATAAAATTCATTTAATATTTTTTATTTTAGATACAATTAATTTATCTTCAGTATTACATAATTAATTATGAATATAATAAATAATTTTGATGAAGTATAATTATCTTCTAAATAAATTTATTTTAATATTTTTTAATTTAGAAAAAATTAATTTGCCTTAAATATTAATTTATCATTAATAAATAATAAATAATATAATTAATAATTGATTTCAATTATAATTATTTCATAAATGAATTACATTTAAGTAATAATTTATTTTAGTTATTTAATTAAATTATTTAATTTAAATATTTCTCATAAGCATTTACGGCGACAATTTATCATAGAACTATCACCGTAAATGATCTACTTTTCAAGTTAATTATCAAAAAACCATTATCTCATGTATTACCACAGTTTTTTTATGAACTGTGGTAAAAAATATATCGTTAAATTGCTATTTTGCACTAGTGCCAGGAGCGATTTGAACCCTAGACTTTAAAAAGGTGCACTCTGAACTCTAAATAATTTAAAGTTGGAGCAATTTGACCCCTAATGTTAACTTTTAACAAACATTCATCAAATTCATTTGGAAAAAATTAAACTTTAGGCCTCAACTTGAAAAAAGTTTGTTGAAAGTTAACAGTAAGGGTCAAATTGCTTCAACTTTAATTGTTTAGGGTTCATAACACATCATTTTAAAGTCTAGAGTTCAAATCACCCTTGGACTTATGGCTCAAGGTTCAAATTGATATTTAACCCTTTGTATTTTAAAAAATGCATTCTAATCAATGATAATTCAACAATAATTGAAAAAAGTATGTTTTGCATATTATATCAATTTAAAAAAAGATTTTGAAGGAGTGTGTAAGTTTCTTGCTTTGAATTGATCGATGAAGGTGAAAATTTATAAAACAAAACTAAATGCCTATATGATAAATAAAGAGATAGAGAAAAAAATGTATGAAGAGGAATCTATTTTAAATTTTTCTCAAACAAAGAATGATAATATTTTTCTCCAATATTATTATGAGATTCCATTACGCCAAAGAATAAATAAGAAAAATATGAAAGTATGCTTACAACAAAAGATGATGTTGTGCTCCTATTATTGCCACTGATTGCCTATCAAAACCTCACTCAACAAAAACAAAAATAGTCTATTTGACAACATCTCATTCACACCCACCATAATCTCCACCAAAAACTTCTTTAATCATTGTTACAAGTTACAACTTTCTTTTATATAGTTTCATCATCATCGTCATCATCATTTGCCTTTTTTAATTCCCTTTTCTCATATCTTGAGAAATTTTTTACATTATCAAGGGATTAATATGCATTTTGAACCCTGAACTATAGGTCCAAGGGCAATTTGGACCCTAAACTTTAAAAAGATGCATTCTAAACCCTAAACAAATGTCTGTCAAATTAGAGTTTAAAGTGCAATTTTTTTCAATTAAAGTTGACGAACATTTATTGAAAATTAACGGTAGGAGTCAAATTACTCAAATTTTAATTATTTAGGGTTCAGAATATACCTTTTTAAAGTTTAAAGTTTAAATCACCCCTAGACCTATAGTTTAAGGTCTAAATTGATATTTGACCAAAAAAAAAGGAATTTAACTAACATTCTCCATAATTTATTTATTGTTGATGTACAAGCAGCAAACATCAGACAAATAAAGTGAAGAAGAAAGATCTTCCAAAATCCAAACAATAGTGTAACAGTCACTCAAGCCTCTATATCTATAATCCACTTTATTCTATTATATTAAAAATGAAGAAAAAAACCCAAGCATACAATTAGATTTAAATTCCTTCATTCTCCACGTGCGCGTTTGCAATGTTAACGTGTTTTTTAATTAAAAAAAATAATTACATACATACATACAATTTTTTAAAAAAATTAGAAATTTTTACCATTGTTAGCAATTTGAGAGGAAAAGAAAGAATATTTCTTATTCTCTTAGAAAATTACTTTAATTAGATACTGAAAGTAATAAGATGGGTGAAATAATCAAATAACAATTCATTTCTTAGAATCTACAGACATAAAGTATCGTCAAACCTTAAATAAATCAAAATAATAAATTATTTTTTATTGCTGTAATTAAATATAAAATAATCTTTTTCATAGAGTCCGTATGAACCTGGTGAGTTGTAGAAACTTATTACATTCTCAACGCACATCCAAGTGTAGCTAGCTTCTTCAAGAAAAAAATGCATAGGGTGCATGATTCAATTAGAGTTCAGATTGTGCATTATAGACTGAACAATTAATCATGTAAATTTGTAGTATTATACCATTAATATACATTGAATTATTTATATAATTTTATCACATTTTTCAAACATATTTTTTGTATAATATATTTGTATACCAAAAAATAAAAATCATAAAAATCAATATCTTTTTTAGTAATAGTATGTTCAAAAGCAATTTTCATTATATATTTTTTCATGAAAAATTTTCTGTACATATTAATTCATCAACTTTCAGTCTATTAAACTGACTTATAAATCTAAATATAAATTTTGTTATAATAATTGGCTTTTATAAAATTATTTCTTCTAAATGAATTTTAATAAACTAATTTTTGACTAATTGAAAACTAAACGAGACTTAATGTCTTTGATCAGTCTCTTAATTTTTCATAGTTGTATTGTATCTCCCCGTCCAGCATGAATAATTATATACTACTCCGTTTTCGAATATAGGAAAAGTTACCATGTTTCTCTTTACTTTTATTTATATGCAAAATTATAAATTTCAAGAACCATTTATCACTTTTTTCTCAAATTATCCATCATAAATTCGATATTTATTTTCACTAGATAAATTTATTTTATTAATTACAAGGATAATTTAGTTATTTTTAAATTTTTAGACATAATTAATACACTTACCTAATTTTCTTAAATTGTGTGGATTATTTTCTCATATATTTAGAAATGAAGGGAGTAATAATTAAAAAAAATATAAAGAGTAAATCAAAGTATGGAACTATACAATTTCAAAACGCCAAAGTGGGAAAACAAGACAAGACTAGAAAGTTCAGTCATCATAAATCGTAAATAGAAAAACAAAAGCAAAGAATTAAACCTTGAGTTGAGTGCTGTACCAGAACTCCCGAAGCGTTGTGGCTTGATTGACGACAACAGCAGCCTCGTTGAGAGTTATTGGCAACAGCTGGAGCCCTGATCCATGGTCCGATGGAAGAAATGAGAAATAAAAGAACAAAACTAATCAAATAAATTGGGAAATTAGAAAAATAGATCAAAGGAAAATTTAGAAACCAACTCCAAGACCGGGGAAGGCTTGTGATAAGAAACCTGTAGATGTAGGAGATAGCTATCACAATTTAGCGCCACGCGCCCCTAACCCAAACTTCTCTCCAAGGCTAAAATTTCCTCTCCCCCTTTACAAGTAATTTTCCTAACCCTCGTGCACATAATATAATATATCAATATAATATGAAATATATAAAAAATTATATATTTAAATTTTATAATTTTTCAAAAAAATATTTAATAAAATAACTATATATTTATGGTTTATCATGAAATTTAAATAGAATATTTTAACGAATTTTTTTTTTTTGAGGAATTGAACAAGGCTTCAGAAACAAGTCTTACCTTTTTTTTCTTAGAAAAACATATGAGATAAAATTGTGAAATGCTTTCAAATAAACAAAAAAAATACTTAATATTATATACCTAACATACTTTTATATGATCAAAACAAAATAAGTGAAAGCACGCACCCAAAATATTAATGGCAAGCAAGGTTAAACCGGTGAGAGGAGGTGACGTTGTTACTCAGATAACTAGCTGTTGATTAATAATAACAAAAATTTATTGTGAAATAAATAATACACTCGTTGTCTCAAATTATTAGACATTTTTGAAAGAAATTTGATACATCAAAATATAAGATACTTCAATAAAAATAAAATTTCAGTAATTATAATTTTCTAATATTATCATTTTCATGTATTCGCTCTCTTTTATATTCTTTTACAAATAGAGTATTAAATGAAAGCTAATATTAAAAAATTTATATTTTTGTTTTGAGGAATTGAACAAAGCTTCAGAAACAAGTCTTACCTTTTTTCCCCCTTAGAAAAACATAAGAGATAAAATTGTGAAATGCTTTCAAATAAACAAAAAAAATACTTAATATTATATGCCTAACATACTTTTATATAATCAAAACAAAATAAGTGAAAGCAAGCACCCAAAAAAAAAAGGATTAGATTCATATTGTAAATGGTTAATTTATTTATAGATGTATAGAATTAAAGAAAAGCATTGTTGCAATTGCTACCGATTCTTAATTACTCAAATAAATTCATTTATGGAATGAGGAAAAAATAGTTTAGCTGAAATAATGATAGTTTCTTTGAAGAGATCATAATTAGATAGAATGACTTTCCATGCATGCTTGAAGAAAACAAAGGAATTGATTTCATAATACTAGTTCCTAATGCTAGTTATGTTGGCATGCCATGATTAAAACCTAACTAGTTTGGTCTTCATGAGCATCACACTTATGCTAATTATTCTTGAGCAATGTATTTAGGCTTATTATTCCTAGGTCTTATACCTACATTTATTTTTTTGGCTTTTGATCATACTTGATTAGTTCTTTACTCATCGACTTTGTGTTTACATTTGTTATTCATTCAAATAAAGTCCTAAAAAAAGATGAGTTGTGAGATTTGCTGCCTTTAAACTGATTTTGCTAAGCGAACTTTTTTTTTTATCATGCATGAATTTTATATAATGCACCACATAACTCTTAATTTTTCAAGGCAGATGTTATAGCTTAAAAGTGAAACTCAATTCCGGGCCGGTTACACCAAATTTTTTGGGTGCATGACATCATCATGCATTATTTATTTTTAAAATAAACAACAAATAACCCATAAAAATCAAGGATGGAAATATTATTTTAACATGCATGGTTTGTCAGGTAATTCCGTGACATATTCTACTACATACAAGAGTAGCTGAGAGAAACTCAAGAATTTAGGCTAATGTTTCCAAATTTGACACTCCACCAAAAACGAATGTAAAGTGATCATCCATTATAGTCATAATCATAGAATTCAGCTGCCAGAAGTTGAACCCTTATTATTGGGACCCTTTTTTCCTTCAACTATCATTGCAAGAAAAAGGAAAGGGTAATAAGAAATATATCGAGAGAATGGTGAGGTTGACGAGGAGGGCAACCAGACGAGGGGGTACGACATCAAAACTGCAAGGAGCAGAACCACACTGATCCCCAGGAAAGTATAGGCCAACCATCTGAGTTCACTCACTGCAAGATATACACCTACCACAAATGCCAGAGATAATGTCATCGAGGAGATGCCTAGAACTGGCATTGCACAGCTGAGAGAAAAATTCATCAAACACAAATCTTCTAATTGAGCCCACAAGAGCATAATGGTTGTAATGATAGCCCCGAAGATAGAGATTATGAGGAAGAGAATAAAGAACTGGAACATGAAATTATGTAGCATAACAGCTCTTCCTCGGTCCATGCCGCCTGGCATGGAAAACCCAGCTGCAAAGGATGCAGTTATTATAAGTGTTGAAACCAATATCAGAGTCTTAATTATGCCTTGATAATGTTTCATGTCGGGTTCTTTTTTCACTACATCCTCTGTGCCACTTGAACGATGCCTCACAAAGCTTCGTGGCGTACCAGCAATGTTAATTCTGCCTTTATAATGTTTCATGTCGAGTTCTTCTTTTTTCACTACATCCTCTGTGCCTCTTGAGCGATGCCTTACAAAGACTCGTGGCGTACCAACAGATTTCAACGCAATCCATGTAAGCCGCTGCAAATTAATAGATACCTTTTGATTAGCGCTACAAACTGAATCTTTAGCAGCAATCATCATATCATCAAAAGATTGGATTAAGTTGAAATTGTCAATTATACATAGATACATGCCTGTTCGAGGGGTGGATTTTGGTCATGTGTTCGGACAGCAATGTCTAGAGCTGTTTCATTTTCAAAATTCGGCAGGGTGAGATTAACTCTTTTGTCCCAAGTCAAGGCATGCACAATTTTGGGATGCCAGTGAAGGGTGGCCAAATGTAGCAGAGTATTCCCCATATTATCCTTCTGATTTATCAAAACCTCAAGTTCAGGATTTTGGAGGATGTACCTAACTGCTATAAAATTTCCACTCTCAGCTGCAACATGGAGCAAATTTCAGCCATTGTTGTCCACAGTCTCAATGGGATGTGGATAGCGTTTTAGCAATTCTTGAACTATTTTGAAATGACCTCCAATACATGCCAAATGAATTGGAAAGCAACCATTGTTGTCCCTTTCGATAATGCAGTTCTCACATTTCTCAATTAAGTGGGAAACACCTTCAAGGAAACCTGTGGACGCTGCATCGTGAAGTGGAAGTCTCCCTTCTTCATTCTTCAAGTGAATCCAATCTGACTTGTATTCCAATATGGTGTGTAGCATTTCTACCAAAACAAGACAATAATATTTGTGTTAATACTTAAAAGAGTTGTTTTTAAATTTTGATTTAAGGGATGCGTGCGCGCACGCATGCCCGCACGTGAAACAAGACAATTATATTTGTGTTAATACTTAATAGAGTTGTTTTTAAATTTTATTTAAGGAATGCGTGTGGCCGCGCATGCTGACGCGTGGGGTAAAGAAATTAAAGTAAATAGCAGTAAGAAGCGGTGATTTCTATTTGAAAATTCACCTATGCAAATAAAATCCATCAATAATTGTTGAGTTGAGTGGCGGAACCATCCCCCCCTCGGGGCAAAAAAAAAAAAAAAAAACCTCTCTACCTCTTCTCATATATGTTATGGGCCTCCAAATATTTAGTCCCATGAAAAACCTTAACCCCCTCCCCTCTATAAAAGACAAAAGAAGTGCACACTTATATAATATTCTCTCTTTTTCTACATATAAGATTGAGAGCTTGGATATTAAAAAATATAAGGCATTTTTAATGTAACAATAATTTATATTTATTTTAAAGTAAAAAACCTATTAAATAAGCATAAATATGAAAAATGATATTAGTTTAAAACCAGTTAACTACTTTATTAGGAAGTAAAATTCAGTTAAAAATTTCTTATATTTTTTAAATAAAAAAATTAAATATTAGCGAAAGAAGTATACTATTAAAGGATACATATTTAATGTTAGCAAAACATAATAAGCATATTTAATAGGGATGAAATAAGAAACGTGTTGAATTTTTAGATAAAGTTAATAAATTTTAATTATTTTTTTAATTTTGATAAAACATGTTGGATGTTGCTTATGTGAGATTTGAGGATAATTTTCCCATATTTTTATTAAATAAATACAGACATGAAAAAATAATATCAATTTAAAAACAACAAATTAACTAATTAAGAGGGTATAATTCAATTAAAAATGTATTATATTTTTCAATAAAGAGAGTATATTTTAAACCCCCCTCCAAAACCTAAAGCACGGTTCCGCCCTTGGTTGAGCTACAAAGGGTGATAATGCACGATATATTGACAATATTTCCCTTGAAGTTTGCCCAAACGATCTGAATTATTGCTGTTCACTATTTTAGGAATTAAAAATATGCATGCATATGTATGAAAAGTGTGGAGAAATGCGAGAGCTGATTGATAACTAGATCTAAGTAGTATATGTGCGTGGTGAGGAATTAAGCAAGGAGTGAGTGACAGTAAGCCGACCTTTGTTCTTCCCAATGATTTTCCTTGGGGCACTAGGTCATATTTGATGCAGATGTCCATGAGTAGAACAATGACTTGCTCATTTTTGCCAGCCTCAACGGCCAGGTACAATAATGATTTCCCTTCCCTGTTGACTGCAAATGCTGCCAAATAATTAACAATCCCCTTGAAGTCAGCCTCGTCGAAAGTATCTTCGGTGAAAGGATGCTGCTGGTTAGAATAAAGATCTTGCATGAAAGAATGTTGGAAAGCTTGAAAAATCTCATCCCCGTGTTGACCATTGGCCATGAAGACCTCGTGGACGAAGGTGTTTCCTTGTTTGTTTCGAAACAAGGTGAGTGATACCATAAGCAGCTTGTCCAACATGAACCGATCACCTCGACGTTCGGTTTTACCCCGAATGAATCTGAAAAAGCAATTAAGGAGGGTTTGAATGGTAGAGGCGCGGCCTGCCCTTGCTGCAACATGGAGTGCAGTATCATAATTGTTGTTAGTGACAGTGAAAAGGTGGGGAGCTCGTACAGCTATCACGCTTGCTATCATTTCATTATCGCCTTCGGCAGCAGCCAAGTGCAGGACAGTATTGCCTAGAGGGGTTCGTTGCTTGTAAATGTTGTTGTGAGGTATAGTGATACATTGGTATGCAGCTGTCAGCAATTTGAGATCCTTGTTGGATGCATGTCTATGTAACATTAACTTTTACTTGGAAGCTGATGGAGGCACAATCTCCTGTGAGGGTCTCTGTTGCTCAAGTTCCACGTCTAATTTCGGGCTCATAGCCGGCGGGCTAGGATAAGACCACGAGTACACCACCGAGTGGTTCTTGATCCCAACTGTGACTGGAGACGATTCACCTCGTGTTAATTCTCATTTATGTATACTGATTAAGTACAAGTATTCGTTCATTTTGTATTGTATATGTACTCAAGATAGTGGCATGGCATATATAGCTAGGTAGCTGTACAATAATGAGATTTGGCATACCTTCGGACATTACGGGATTTACGCCTGGCAATGAGAAGAAGACTATCCCTTCATAATAATGTGGCAGGCATGTTTGTTTGAATCAGTTTTTAAATCCCAATCATGTGTACGTATGACATTCATATCGATTCATTTTGCACAAGTTGCAAAGAAAAGGAATCAAATACCCTCATTACCAAAGTTCGTCACCTTCACCACAGGTTCCGATCTGTCCTCCTTCATTTCCGGTAAAAACCAATTTCTAAATGAGAGGCGAGGAGATTCCTGAATTATGGAATTATATCTCTGACCTGAATCAATCGAAATCTCTTGCTGATAAAAAGGAAGAACGTGCGCACAAATACAATTATATACATATATATATGTATATATTATATATCTAGTATGAGAGGCTGAAGGATACTCTTTTGTTAAAAAATATAAAGTACTTTTAATTAAATTTCACCCCTAACAAAATAATTACTTATCTTTAAACTAACTATATTTCTATAGTTACCCTTATTTAACAGGGTATTTTACCCTAATAAATATAAAATAATTTATTTAAGAGGGATACTTTAAAAAAAAGTAATGATTATACTTTAAAAAATTAAAAATGTATTACATTTTTTAATATTCAACCTTTTAAAAAATGTCTTATATTTTTAAACGGAAGGAATATATACTTTGTAAGTGATCTCTCCCTAACTTATTATATAAGGCACCTTTTATGTCTTTAATGTAAGGCACTTGATAGGTATTAATTACATTTTTTTAATATTATTCTTATTTAAATTCATTAATTTGAAAAATGAATGTAATGTAAATTTAAAAGTTTTTCATTTAACTATGAATATAATAAAGACATGAGAGAGCATAAAAGAAAAGACAAAACATTATTAATTCTGCAAGAAAGCAATAAAGTTAGTTTGATGCACTTAATCGCCCAACAAGTCAACAACACTTACGGCTGCTTGGCTTCTCTGACGATTCGGTTTGCTCTTCTACCTCTGCTTCTGCCTCTTCAGTACTGAGTCCGCCTGTGCCCAAGAATGACAAGCACAAATGGAGAAATAAGTATTTAGGTACGATATATTGTTTGATCAAAATAAAGGATTAATTGATTGTGCCGTGCATAATTCCCAGAGTGGGCATAGGGTTAGCTACGGTTAGCTAGCCAGGTGATTAATAATAAAAAAAAATACAGAAAAAAGACCTCAAAAAAATGTTTGATACTTTAAACTTTTTTTTATGCAGTATTTATCTTCAACAATTGAAATTGGTGCAATGTGACTCTTATAATCAATAAAGATTAACTTTGACCATTCGTTAAACATAAAAAAATATACAAAAAAGACCTCAAAAATTATAAAAAGGAACCTAAAAATTACTGAAACTGACCTTATAGCTATAAAAAAAATAATATTGATTAAAACTTCTAAATTATAAATAAATTCTAAAACACTTATGTTATTTCTTACCCATACAAAAAACCAAAATATCATTTTAACCCATCACTTTAAAACGCTATTGGGTGATCGGTTATTGAATCATGATAACATTAGTAAGTAATAAAAATATTATATTTATTTTAATAATATCTCAATAAACATTAATATTTTAATAAATAATAATTTAAATATGATTATTATTTACAAATATTTGCACACAATTTACAAGTCAAGTTTTGATATTTGCAAATTCTTCAAAATTACAATATAACTAGTATATTTGTGATTTAAAAGTGAATGCATTTTTTATGCTATCTTTAAATTTTTGAAAGAGGATTTATAAATTTTATATGAAGATTTATAATTCATCACTAACTTAACTTACAACTTAGCATATCTTCATTAACAGATGCTATATATTATTGATGAAAAATGAGTAAGGAGAACTCCAAAAAATATAAGTAGATTCCAAGAAAGCTCTTCTTTTGAAACTCCAATTATTGTTTCTCTTAAACCAGATCGTCTTTCTTCAACTTTTTCCTTTGATCGTATCCCTTCATCTATAAAAAGAATCCTTTCTCAAAAAATAAAAAGTCTCATAGAGTATTCTATTGTTCTTGAGAATGTCGGAGTCCCAATTACCTAACTCTCTTATCTAAATCCTTACAAACTTTACCATAGAAATAACTCTTTTACTTGTGGCATCAAAACTTTGCTTCATACAAATCGTCCTCAGCCAAAAGAAATAATCCAGACCTCTAGTATTAACCAGCATGGTATTCCTGCCACAGTTGATGAACAATTCATCACCTTTAAGATAGCCTAACATTTGATTGATGGTTGAATCAATTAGGGTTACACCCACCTTCATGTTGGATCTATTCGCCTCATCCTTACCTATTATAAGAGAAAAGGTATGGTAGCCACTACTAGGGTTGCTTTACTAGACTTAACCTTCAAGTTATATGGCAATGCCTTAATTGGTTCCATGTTGACTACTTTCAATCAACGAAGTGTGGTTCTTACAATAGCATCCAACTTTAATGTCAAGCTCACAAATCCAACTCTTTCTATAAGATTCAAAGTTCAAATCCAGATTCATGAAACTAACAACAAGCTGATACTGTCATGGCCACCCTCCATCACTAAATGATCTTCAAGCTTCAAGATCATTCTTCTAATTTCAACTTCCCCAATGTAACTAGAGATGCATTGTACATGGTTGCAAACAACCTAGGAGATGCTTCAATCCTTCAAATTCCAAGGCAATTACCTATTGAGTAGTTAGCTGACATGATCCCACTAGAATGGATAAACAACTATGAAAAGCAATTCCATGGTATTCAAAAGGATGTTCATACTACAAAACCTCCTACGCTCTATAGGCTACAAGATGGTATTGTCAACTTTGTCTTCAAGAAACCTGGAACTCAAAATCCAAACTAGATTTTTAGAAGGATATTGTCAATCTCTTCAGACTTAATTGGAGACAAGAAGGATCCTCTTATTGAATGGTTTACTGCAAAAGCCAAGTCTGTCTATATCTTGCACATTAATGGTCACTTTATTTGGGACTATGCCTAGAAAATGTGTGATCCAAATTGTGACTATTATCTTTGAAATGATTCTAACAATGAAGCCTATAGTTCTAGAAAAGGAGCTAGGAAACCTGAGCATCCTAGATCTCCATGTAGGCACAAGCTTCCTCCTAAGGATGATGATGATGACCATGGCCCTAAACAACCAAGAAAGAGAAAATGTGTAGGACTTCCAAATCCTCCTATAAAAAGGAACACTCTCTTTAAACTCCTTAGAAAACTTAGTCATGAAGATCTCCTCCTCCAGATAAATCAAAACCAATGACTCTAGTTACTCCACAACTCCCAGAACCAATAATCCCAGTTATCCCACCTGCATAAACACAAGCCTTGCCTTATATTACAATGACGAGGCTTTACGAGGAAGAATATCCTCCTCTTAAATGAAAAATAGATGATAGTATAAAGGTGACTAGTGGACCTTTTGTTCTATAGATAGACGTAACTCCTCAAGACACTCTCAAGCCTGTTACACTAGCAAAAGAAATTCTCAACTGGCAATCTCAAAATGTTGTTAGTTAAAATAGAGTCATCTACAAGATAGATTCAAAACTTAATCATTTAACAACAATAATAAGAAACTTGTCCTCACAGGTTAATTAGATTGATGATCAGATAAAGAATTTATATCAAAGGCTCTATAAGCAAGAACAAAAGCTGGATGTAAAACTCCATAGGTTTATCAAACAAGGATATGATGGACAAGAATACTTCAAAAAGGAAAATGAAATTTTTCAAGTAAAAGGACAACTACAGTGGATAGAAGTAGAATTAGCTCAAGACCAATCTCTACATTTAACTACAGCAAATATGAGCCCTATCCAACTTACCTAACCATGATCAAACAATTCCCTACCTATACCTCCATTCATCTAACTTATCCAACTCAGACTTATTATAGTAAAGTATTCACAATGTCTTATCCAATTCTCAGAAAAGCCTAGAAACAATCGACTAAAAAACCAAAAACACCTGTCTCATATATAGAAAACCTACCTTCTCACCAAAAACCTCAAGACTATCAAGCCTCCCCATCTTTCACCAAAATCTCAAAAAAAAAAAACTATTAACCATAAAAACACCTCCTCCTCCTCCACCAAAGACCAAACCACCATCAATAATTGATAGAGCTAAAGGAATTAAAGATCCCTCAAATCCTTTAGGAACTATTACTTCTAATCAAAATGCTATCTTTAACTAGGTTTTTACTGAATAAGATGACATAAACTCTGTGGCTTCAATTGAAACCTCTACAGAGTATATAGACTCTAAAGAAGAACAATACTTAGTTGATTTATTAAAAATTGCAATGGTCCAACCTTAAACTTACCAGCAGCAAACTCAAAATGAAACTAGGATAGAAATAGTTGTAAAAGACCCTCCTGATAAAGAATCTGGAACTATGGAAGAAATTCTGACTGAACCACTTCATCATGGTTCTAGTTCCAAACCTACTTCTGGATCCTGGTTTACATTTGATAATTTACCTCTATACAAATAGAGAGAAAGACTTTAAGAATTTAGTGCTTGGATTGACTTACAGATGATCAGACTAGATGTTACTATGAGAGAGGTACTTTTAGAATTTCTCTCAAGGATAATTGAAAATTTGAGAGAATGGTTTTAAAGTCTTAATGAATACGATAAGATTTGAGACACTCAGCTTAATGCCTCTTAGTTTCTTGGGGCAATCCATAAAGAATTCCTAGAAGATTTCAATCTCATTGATAAGAGTAGATAAGAGTTCTTTGAAATGAAATGTAGTTCACTCTACTGAAAGGATTTATAAAAATATTTTCAATGAATATCTAAAAAATATTATATGTTAAATGGTCCTAATGATGTTAACCTCAGGCATACATTTATTGCTTCTTTGCAAGAAGAACTCCAGCCAGAGCTATATAGAGTAATCAATGCATTATGAAGAGATATGTCACAAATCTCTCTCAAAGAAATCAATCAGTTAGCTCTGTCTACACTAAATAAGCTCTGTGAACAGCATTCTTTGAAGTCAATGCTTAAAGTAAAGCTAAAGTTACAATTTGCCTATAAAAAGCCTTATTTGAAGATCAAATGTAAAGAACATGATCTTTGTTCTTATAAGAAGACTCATTTTCATAAATACAGGCATAAGATCTTCAAACCAAAAAGGCATTGTTCTTTAAGGTTCATTATGAAAGAATAATTGTGTACTATAATAATTCTTCTATCATACATTTTATTACATTTATTTGCTATTGTAGACTAAAACACAGAGCTATAAGAGTTCAAGGCCAGAATCGATTGTCAAATCATTGGAATAATTTCTAAAAGTCTCAACTCCTCCTCCGGCTGAAATGTCTAGTGGCAATAACCAAATAACAAAAAATAAGAAATCATACGATTGTTTATATATTTCAATTAAAATGAGTAATGTTGATCCTAGTGGGCTAAATTAAAATGTTCACTCTACTCTTGTAGTCGTGCTTATTACGCCTACATGTTATTATGCATATACTTAAGCAAAAAAATGTATAATTTACTAGTTAGAATGACAGTAAAGTTTCAAATAAGAAATTAATGACAGTCAGATCTTGATAATTTTTTTTGTTTGAAAAATAAGTTATACATAACTATAGACAATTGTAAATAAGAATATTGATTATGAATTGAGAATTACATTTAAAATTTAAATATTTTATTTGTAAAAGTAATTGAAATCATTAAATTTATAATTATTTGAATTAATATTCACAGCTTATTTTTTGAGAAAATTTTGGCACAACCTAACTGTTATTAATTTCTTTTTTTAGAATTTCACTGTCATTTTTGGCCAAAAAATGGAATTTAACTGGCATTCTCCGTAATTTATTTATTGTCGAAGTGCAGGCAGCAAACATGAGACAAAAAAAGTGAAGAGGAAAGACCTTCCAAAAATCCAAACAATAGTGTAATAGTCACTCGAGACTCTATATCTATAATCCACTCTATTCTATTCTATTCTATTATATTAAAAATGAAGAAGAAAAAACCTAAGCATACAATTAGGTTTAAGGGAGAATGACGAGTAAGGACCTTCTAAGAATATTAATCCCAATTACGGATTGTGAAATTTAAAATTTCAATTAAGGATCATGATCCTTAATTGTGATAAAAAAAAATGTAGTTTGTGAGGTGTAATTCACTAACACGACTTGAGAATTCACTAACCCAACTTAGTAAAATTACTAACGTATATTGTAAAAATATGAAACTCTACTTGAAAATGGAATGTTTAATGAAAAACACTACTTGAGAATTCCTTAACTAGACTTGAAGAAATTTCTAACGTATATTGTGAAAATATAAAACCCTACTTGAGAATCATTTAAAAAAAGTGATTTGTCCAAATTGATGTTTTTTATTAAACAATCGATTCCTAAGTGGAGTTTCATGTTTTCACAATATACGTTAGAAATTTTTTTAAGTTGAGTTAGTAAATTTTCAAGTGGCGCTTTTTGTTAAACAATTGATTTTTAAGTAAGGTTTCATGTTTTTACAATATATGTTACAAATTTTCTCATATTGAGTTAGTGAATTCCCAAGTGGTAATAATGAATTCCACCTCACAAATTACATTTTTTTTATCACAATTAAGGATCATGGTCCTCAACTGAGATTTCAAAATTTCATGGTTTGTAATTGGTATTAATGTTCTTAAAAGGTACTTAATTGTCATTCTCCCTAGATTTAAATTCCCTCATTCTCCCACGTTCGCGTTTATGCAATGTCAAAGTGTTTTTTAATTAAAAAAAATACTTATATACTTACATGCATGCATATATATATATATATATATATAACTTTTTAAAAAAATTAGAATTTTTTACCATTTTTAGAAATTTGAGAGGAAAAGAAAGCATATTTCTTATTCTCTTAAAACATTACTCTAATTAGCTACTAAAAGTAATAAGATGGGTTAAATAATCAAATAATAATTCATTTCTTAGAATCTACACACATAAAGTATCATCAAACCTTACATCAAAATAATATATTACTTCTTAATACTGTAATTAAATATAAAATAATCTTTAGTAGTATACCATTATAGGGTGCATAATTCGATTAGAGTTCAAATTGTGCATTATAGATTGAAGAATTAATCATGTTAATTTTTAGTATTATACCAGTAATATACATTGAATTATTTATATAATTTTATCACATATTTTTCAAACAGTTTTTGCATAATATAATTGTATATCAAAAAATACAAATCATAAAAATCAATATCTTTTTTAGTAATAATATATTCAAAATTGCTTTTATATTTTTTATGAAAATTTTTTATTACATATTAATTCAATTAACTTTCAATCTATCAAACTGACTTATGAACCTAAACATAAATTTTCTCATAATAATTAGCTTTTATTAAATTGATTTTTTCTAAATAAATTTTTAATAAACTAATTTTTTTTACTAACGGAACACTAAATGAGACTCAATGTCTTTGAAGTCTCTTGATTTTCCGTAATTGTATTGTATCTCCCCGTCCAGCATGAAGAATTATATACTACTCTAATTTTTAATATAAGAAAAATTATCATGTTTCTCTTGTTTTTATTTATAAGCAAAATTACAAATTTTAAGAACCATTTATCACATTTTTTTTCAAATTATCCCTCATAAAGTCAATATTTATTTTCACTAGAAATTTTTTTTATTAATTATAGGAATAATTTAGTTTATTTTTTTATTTTTAAACATAATTATTACACATACCTAATATATTTAGAAATGAAGGGAGTAATAATTAAAAAAATATAAAAGGAGTTAATCAAAGTATGGAACTATACCATTTCAAAACATCAACGCTAGAAAACAAGACAGGATAGTCATCATAAATCGTAAATAGAAAAACAAAAACAAAGAATTAAATATTGAGTTGAGTGCTATACCGAAACGCTCAGAGCCTTCAGACATGACTTAATTTCTGTCACTGTTGTGCGGTTATGTCGTAGACTTAAATTCCAAAAAAGGAAAAAAAAAAAAAAAAAAACTCCTGAAACCTTGTGACTTGTTCGATGACAACTGCAGCCTGGTTGAGGGTCGTTGGCAACAGCTAGAGCCCTAATTCACTGTCCAATGGAAGAAATAAGAAATAAAAAAACAAAACTAATCAAATAAATTGGGAAATTAGAAAATTAGAGCAAAGGATAATGTAGAAACCAACTCCAAGACAGGAGAAAGCATGTGATAAAAAAAGAGCATATATTTTTCAAACACTATTAATAAAAAAATATTTAGGAACTTATTTGCCTTCTCATTCACTGTCCTTAAATTTAAAAAAGTATACGATACTTATGAACCATTAAATTTGACCAACTCTCACATCAGTGGCAGAATCAGGATTCGAAACCAGGAGATGCGGGATAATTTAATAAAAAATAATATTTTTTAAAAAACAATAATTATATTGTAGGATTAAAATTATAGTAACATAAATAGATTGATTATCATTTTTCTTCTTAAAAATTATAATGTCCAAACTGATAAGATCTTTTATATAAATATATTCTTCGTATCTTATATAAATTATTAAATTATTTTATATCTAATAAATTTTTAAGTTTGAATATTTTTTATTTAATTTAAAAGGGACAAAGGATAAAAAATAAGAGGTGCAAAGTTACAAAATTTTTATATCATGCTTATAATATTTCTCAAAGTGAGGGGTGCATTCCCCCTCCCCCCACCATGAGGCTCGGCCACTGGTTCACATGCTGCACCTTCACTTTTATTGACTTAAAAAAGATACTTTTTGTTTTTTAATCTTATTATTTAAAATTATAAAAGAAAAGAGAACGAAGAAGAGAATGAGATGTGCTGTCATTACTTTGATGAGCTATTTGAAATGGACTTTGACTCATCACCACAAAAGAAACCAACGGTCACTCAAAAGAAAGAACAAAAACAAAAGAAGCCAACGTCAAATTGAACACCATGCTGTAGGGAAAAAATTATTTACCAAAATATTACATATTGAAAAATATTTATCATGATAATATAAATTGAAATTGAGTTTGATTGCTATCAAGTTTAAATTTTTTTGCTCTTAATATGACGAGTGTCGGTCAGTATGAAACCAACTCTTATTAATTGGGAAAAAGAAAAAGAAAAAGAAAAAGATATGTCAGATGTAGGAGATAGCTATCGCGAGTTTTATAATTATACTGGTCAAGCAGAAAGAAAAAATTTAATAAAAAATATTTAATACTGTCATGATAAATATTTTGTAAATATTTTTTATGCTGGTCACGCAGAAAGAAAAAATTTAAAGTTGATGTCAGTCAAACTCATCTGCAATCAATAATGTCATGACAAATATTTTTTAATATGTAATATTTTTTTTAGTACGACGGTCAATTTGCCGCAGCCAACACTGAGTATTAAAAAAGAAAAAAAGAAAAAGCGAATAACACATTACGCATGGTCGGATCAGCTTTCTTCTTCTTGGTTGCTCTCTATGTTCTGAAAGATAAGAATATGAATATGCTGCACAAGTTGAAACACAAATTGAATTTTGTAAATACAGATCAATGATAAACGCAAACTATTTTGCCACAAATCTAAAAATATTTTCAGCTTACAGTAGCCAACGAGAAACTTTGAAGTTTCAAGTTATGTAAACCTCAGATCTCCCAGCAACAGTTAGCTTTCCTTGGACTTCCAACATAGATCAAGCATGAGACACCACCCTTCTCATGGTGTTTTTAACAACTTTAAAAAACAAATGCTTCACACAGATCAAAGACAACCATGAAATCTGAAGGTTTTCGTAGAAAGATGATGAACTTGTGAAATCAAACAAGAAACGAACAACAACAAATCAAAACAAGAACATACAGGAAAGAAGTCCAACTATCACAGAAAATGAAAGCACAGAGGATAACTAGACTTTTCTTTTGTTTTTTTTTTTGGAGATATGAGCAGTAACAAATTGAAAGAGCAGTTTTTTTTTTGTGGAAATTTGTAGGATTTTCTTCTTCAGGAAATATCACAAAAACTAGCAAAATGAAGTTAAAAATGATCAGGAGGGAAGCAAAACAAAGGAAAGTGCGGAAACGACGTTTGAGAAAAAGTTGAGAAATTAAACAGAAAAATCAATTCGCAGAGGTCCCAGCGAAAGTTGGAAAAAGCAGTAATTTTTTTTCTTTTTCGGGCAGAGCAGAGGGAAAGGAAACAGAAAATTAGAATATGCGAATAACACAAAGGAAGTTGCAGAAATGAAGCAAAAGAAGAAGCTGGGAAAGCAACGAAAGAAGATTTGTGAGACTGTGGAAGAAGCAGCAGAAGATCTGAAGCTTTGGGAAGAGTGGACTGCAAATTGGGAAGTTTCTGGTTCATATAGGAGACATTGTTTACTTTACATGGGAATAAAAGGACATCTTGGTCTCTAGGTAAGGGTGATAATCTCATTTTACTCCATTGATTCATTTTTATAAGCCTATCAACTTTATTTAATTCACAAATCAAAATGTCCTCTTTCATTTTGCGCTATATTAATCTATAATTAATTATGGGTTAAATGACAAAAATATTTTAAAACTTTTTCACAAAACGGCATACTATGTTATCCTAACCTTTTTCAACAACATCAACTGAAACTTTTAAAAAAGAGTTGGCCAAAAGAAAAAAAAAAACAAAGAAACTTTTAAAAAAGAGTTCAATAATATACCACCAATAATACAAAACGTTTTACTGTAAAAATATTTGACTGTTAACTCCCTTATTTGACCTAAAATTTTACACGTGTCACTCTTTCTCGTCATTTCTCTCCCTCGTCTGCTCTCTTAGTTCTCGAATTCATTCATCTTCATTTCTCTCCCTTGTTTGCTCCCCCACGAGCCCCACCGTGCACCATCTTCAGGTCTGCCACTTATCTCGCCGCTGTGAGTAGTTTTCAAGGTAAGCTTCTATATTTTTATGGGTTAAAAGGAAAATCCGTATATAAAGTAGTCATCTAAAGCATTCATTACTATAAAGTGAAGATAGATGTAAAAGTATCTCAAATGTTAAATTAATAAGTGCAATTATATCATGTACGCTGAGTTGGTGAATATTGATTGTGAAAGTGTACACATAAGCCAACTGTTGAAATTTTTACACGTGTTCGTGGAGCTCGTCGT